AATTTAAGAGGATTTTTTCCCTTTGTATGGACAAAACTGTGTTTGCTACGGCTCAAGAACCTTAGCGTTTACAAGCGTGATTGTACCGACTACTTGCAAAGAATAAGTAACAATGTGACAAAATGGCCATTGTTCAAGCTGTAATCGATTTCCATCCGAGCAATCGACAGCCAAAGTAGTAGCTTACAACTGACTGTATGTGTCCATTGAAAAAGTGAAGTGTCTTTCGCTTGGCCGTGTGAGATCTGGATACGAGATAAGACGCGTCCTACGGCTTGTCGTAAGCCTACAGCGGAAGTTGCAATGTTGAGGCTCTTTAGAGACGAACACATATACTCGTTCGCATTCGAAAACAGTTTACAAATAAGCAAGGTCATTCGCTTTGCAGCAGTCTATTCAGAAAACCCGTCGCAAATCTACATTTGAGACAAATCTCAAAGAAAGACGAAGGAAGACGAAAACTGTCCAAAATGTTAGGCTCCAGTCCATTTATAAAAACCTCACCAGGTTGGAAGACTAAAAACACTCGCTGAGCGGGCATCACCGTCAACTACGAAATGGGTGCTCAACTTTTCAAAACTGAAACCTTGCGTCAAATTCCTTAAAAGTTGAAATAAAAGAATAGAACTAAACAAAATCCATCTGTATTTTATAATCTTTCAAAAATTTCGCTGGACGGTTAAACTGATTTAGAGGAAAAACTCGCCCTTTCAACGTTTTAGAATAAATTAATGTTCTATTTTCTACACCGAGAATTTGCAATTAAACAAACGGTTCTTCTCAGCAGGCAACAGTTCACATGTCAATTACGGACAGAGAGGTAACTGGAACTTTATGGAAAGGACCCTATATTTAAGCAATAGAAAACGTTTTCCGTGTTTTCATAGCCTGATATAAACACGAGAGGGTTTGGGAGAATTCTCGACAGTTATGCAAACCCGACACGAAGTCGAGGGTTTGCATAACTGTCGAGAATTCTCCCAACGCCTCGAGTATTTATATCAGGCCATCCAAACACAGGAAAAAAGTTTTCTATTGCTTTTATAAGATAAATTTCCCGAGAAAAATGCAAAACTGTTTGTATGGCACTGATTAAAAGAGAAATTCTTAACAGTCGCAAATTCTTGTCCACGAAGTCTTGCACGCGTAATCAGTTCTCGTTTTGCAAAAAGATGCTTTCCAAAATACGAACTTTTTTCGCTTCAAATGTCATCTTAAGCGAAAAAAATTGACACACTTTCTTTGTAACGATTTTCCAAGTTTCAGCCGACCAAGGAATGCGCAAATAAAGTAAACTTGTCGAGTTTTGAACTTGAAAACTTTGTTAAATTCGCGCTTGCGTGATTAGCGCGCGAAAAGCAAAACATCTTGACGCCACAACCATGTTTACATACTCGCATACAAACACTCCTCTCAGACAATCAGAGCGCGCGTACTATCTTAGTTATTTTATAAATTGCGGTGTTTCATTCCTTTGTTTTCAATGCTAGTGTTGCAAAACCTTCCCCTTGCATTGTTTTCTGGGTTGGCCTTGTTTTGTACAATTTGATGCGGTGTTTCAACCCTTAAAAATCTGCACCAACAATAACACTGAATTTCTGTTTGCACTCTACCTATAACATTAAGTCAAAGGCTTTGGTTAATGAACCGGCTTTATTACGAGCTACAGCAGACGGTAGAAGTGAAAAAAAGCTAATACAAGGAGGGGTAATTAAGGTAGATATCAGTTTTAACTACGACTAATACACGCATATTATGACTAAATTATGGCTGAACAGACCTGCACTCGACTTCTGGATTATTTCGTTCAACTGGTTTCCCACACGAGAAGTTTCTCCCTTGGTTTCTGTGTTTTAAACTTTGTATTTTCCCTCGTGGCAACTCTAGGAAATCTTTTAGTCATTCGGGCCTTAATGAAGAACTCAACGATACCAGCCACCGTCAAGAAGCTGTTCCTAAGTCTGGCTTTCTCTGATCTTGCAGTTGGATTGTGTTCGCAGCTTATGACCGCTATTATCAGTGCCGTGATGTTGAAGATGGCATCAAGTGAACACGACTTTGCCTTCTTTTGTCCAGCAGTTCTGTACGTGTTACAATAGTGTTGGTGTCTTTATGGTTAACAAGTTGCGTCTCTGCCTTCCTACATATTTTTCTTCTGAAAGGAATTGCAATGGCAACTGCAGTTATTTCCGTTTTAGGATATGTTCTGACAACCTTGGCGTATGTTCGTATTTACAAAGTTGTCAAATATCATCAGAATCAGATTTACCGTCAAAATCAGCTTCAAAAGCAAGAGAGGCACACAAACAAAGAAAATCCGCCTATAATAGTTTATTTATCTCTGTAGTTTTCGTAGCTTGTTATCTTCCTTTTTTGCCTAATACAATGTTGTATTGGAAAAACGCTTCTGAAATTTCACTTCTCGTAGCTCATTTTGCGTCTACATTCTTGATGTACCTGAATTCATCATTAAATCGTTTTATTTATTGTATTATTAGAGATTCGCCAAAGCGTAAAAAGCACATTAAAGCAAATATTTCACATGAACGAGAACATGTCATAAGGAAGGAATTAAAGCTCTGGGTAGTTTGAACTGACAGACTTTTCAGTGTCTTTGCGAAGTCTGGACAACGAAATTTAGTAAGAAAACTAATGGACTTAGACTCGTAGACACAAGAACATGACGAAAGTATAACTTTCAAGATGCGTATCATGTTATTCTGGGCAATCGAGAGCAAAAGACAGTTCCATATTTATACACTGGAATCCTGATTTTTTGGCATTTAGTGGGGAAGAGCTTACAAACGAGCAAGGTTATTGGGCTTGCTGTGCGCTAGTCCATTCAGACTACATAACACCGTCGTGAGTCTCCAGTTGAGGCTAATTAGTTTCCAGTCCTTTTTTAAAAACATCACTGGCTTTGAAGACTCAAAAGCCTCGCTGACGACACCTTGAACTAAGGAACAAGTGCTAAATTTTTCAAACTGAAAGATTGCCTAGAAGTTTAGATAAAAGAATAGAATTGAAGAAAATCCATCATTATTTTATTATGTGTAAATCATTTGCTGGTCGCATCAGTCAAGAAAAAAAACTCGCTTTTTCAACGTTTTACATAATTTAACGTTCTAGTTTTATACCGATCGTTTTCAATTAAAAAAGTGGTTCTTCTTAGCAGGGAGTAGCTCACATTGCAATTATGGGACAGAGGACGACAGAGAGATAATTGGAACTTGATGGACAAGGACTATATATTGCGGCGTTTAATTGTTTTGTTTTCAATACTAATTTCGCAAAACCTTCCCCTTGCATTGTTTTCTGAGTTGGCCTTGTTTACAATTTGAGTCGGGGTTTCAAACCTTAAAATTTTGTACCAACAATAAGAATTTCTGTATGCACTCTAACTATAAACATTGAGTCTAAAGCTTTAGTTAATGAACCGGCTATATAACGTGACACAGTAGATGGCTTTTATAAAAGGTAGCTAATTAACCGAGGGGGCCATCAATGTTGATATTTTACCATAAGGAAAAATCCATCTATACAATTTGACAGGTTAAACCATGGCTGAACAGTACTGCAGTCAAATGCTGGATACCTTTTGGAAACTTGTTCATCACAGCAGGTCTTCCATCCTTGCTTTCTGTGTTTCACACTTTACATTTTCACTCGTGGCCACTCTTGGAAATCTTTTAGTTATCCGCGCTTTAATAAAGGCCTCAACGATACCAGCCAACGTCAGGAAGATGTTCATAAGTCTGGCTTTCTCTGATCTTGCAGTTGGATTGTTGCCACAGCTTATGGACGCTATTATCTATGCCGTGGTGTGGAAGATGGCGTCAAGGGTAGACAACTTAGCCTTCCTCTGTCCAACAGTTTTAAGCGTGCTCTCTTATTTTGAGTATTTTCTCATCGCTGCATCTTTCCTGAATGTTACTGTCATTGCAGGCGATAGGCTTCTCGCTGTTTCGCTCCATTTGCGATATCAGGAGCTTGTCACGACCAGACGTGTTACAACAGTATTGGTATCTGTGTGGATAATAAGTTGCTTCCTCGCCATCCAATTTATTTTCTTTCCAAAAGAAATTGAGATGGTAGCTGCAGTTATTTGCCTTACAGGATATGTTCTAACGACCATGGCATATGTTCTAATTTACAAAGTTGTCAAGTATCATCAAAATCAGATATACAGTCAAATTCAGCTACAAAATGCCCAAACAAGGGAGGCACACCGACAAAGGAAGTCCGCCTATAATAGTTTATTTGTGTCAGTAGTTTTTTTAGCTTGTTATTTTCTTTTTTTTTCCTTGTACAAAACTGTACGAGACAAATACTTCTGNTAGTTATCCGCGCTTTAATAAAGGCCTCAACGATACCAGCCAACGTCAGGAAGATGTTCATAAGTCTGGCTTTCTCTGATCTTGCAGTTGGATTGTTGCCACAGCTTATGGACGCTATTATCTATGCCGTGGTGTGGAAGATGGCGTCAAGGGTAGACAACTTAGCCTTCCTCTGTCCAACAGTTTTAAGCGTGCTCTCTTATTTTGAGTATTTTCTCATCGCTGCATCTTTCCTGAATGTTACTGTCATTGCAGGCGATAGGCTTCTCGCTGTTTCGCTCCATTTGCGATATCAGGAGCTTGTCACGACCAGACGTGTTACAACAGTATTGGTATCTGTGTGGATAATAAGTTGCTTCCTCGCCATCCAATTTATTTTCTTTCCAAAAGAAATTGAGATGGTAGCTGCAGTTATTTGCCTTACAGGATATGTTCTAACGACCATGGCATATGTTCTAATTTACAAAGTTGTCAAGTATCATCAAAATCAGATATACAGTCAAATTCAGCTACAAAATGCCCAAACAAGGGAGGCACACCGACAAAGGAAGTCCGCCTATAATAGTTTATTTGTGTCAGTAGTTTTTTTAGCTTGTTATTTTCTTTTTTTTTCCTTGTACAAAACTGTACGAGACAAATACTTCTGAAATTTCGTTTCTCGTCGCTCAAGTTGCGTCGGTTTTCTTAATTTGCCTGAACTCATCATTAAATCCTATTGTTTATTGCTGGCGGTACCGAGAGATTCGCCAAAGTGTAAAAAGCACAGTGAAGAAATTATTTCACATGAACGAGAACATGACATGAGAAACGGTTTAAAGCTCCGTACAGTTTGAACTGAAAGACTTTTCAGTGTCTTTTGCGAGGTCTGTAAAACGAAATATGGTAAGGAAACCAATGGACTTATTTTGGTGCAAAGAAAATGAGAAATGTAAAACGAAACAGAATATTCTGTTAGAAACTGGAACTGGTGTTGATAAATTGTGAAACGAGACCTGGCTAATAAACTTCTCAACGTTCTCAACGGTTCCACACTGTTATAAATGTGAAGTCCGTCATCCGTTACAGTTACTCACTCATAATCCTTTGCCACTTTCAAGAACAATTATGCATGACATACGTTTTAACTACATGTTTTTATCCTTTACAAAAAAGCAAGGCAAGACTCTTATTTTTTCCAAATTTTGACCTTAATAAAAACGCAACCTAGTGTCTAAAGCTTTCGGAAAAGATGGATCGAAACTACAACAACCTGATTGGCTGGCAAGGAGCCAATCAGCCAGCACCATTTTCGATCCTCCAAACGATCCAGGGTGCACATATAAACGCCTACCAAATCATAGCTAACAATACTGAATGGTTCAGAGTTCACCTCAACCATCCAACCACATAGCAACTGATGAGAATCATAAGATTCCAAACCGCGGTCTTGCTAGTAAACTTATATTTAACTGCATAGACTATGTAGTAGCACAAAGAAGTCAGTCAATTGATTGGTAAACAAAGTAAATGCTATGGCATTTTAAATATCGAGCTTTTAAATACTATCCTCTAATAAACTACAGTCACATTCACCAAGCGATTGAGTAAAATAACGACATTCAAAGGACACAGCATTATAACGTATTGAAATAATGCTTCCACCAGAGGTGCGATGAATACCCAAAAGAACCAGAGTCTAATCTAGACATCTTTAAAGAATGCATGCTGTGCACAGCTAAACATTGTGCTCTGAGGTCGAATAAACCTCAACTGTACGGAGATGTTAAAAGCGGATACCTAAGATAACAGAAGCTATGGAAAATGATCATTATTAACTTAACGCGATTTTAAGCAGACATATTTTATAAAACGGACAAAAAATTCAACAGAAAGCACACAAACTGAATAAATTGTCTGTTGCATTTTTCCTCTGCTGCGTATAGAATGCACTGAGCCTTTCTTTGGTCGGCTTTATAGAAGCTGTATCAACTTAACAGGCATAACAGCCCACCTATCGTAGAACTTTTAAAGTGTAAAATCCCTGAAAGAGTTCTCCTCTCTGGCTCCGCTAGCCCCTATAGTTATTCCAGGCACCCAGTACTCTAATTTTACTTCCAATATTTTCATTGTCGTAATTAAGTGTTTAGCAAGAGTATTACGGTGTTTAATTGCTTTGTTTTTAATACTAATGTGGTAAATGTTCGAATTTACAAAGTTGTCAAATATCATCAGAATCAGATTTACAGCCAAAATCAGCTTCAAAATGCCCAAAGAAGGGAGGCACACCGACAAAGGAAGTCCGCCTATAATAGCTTGTCTCAGTAGTTTTTTTAGCTTGTTATTTTCCTCTTTTTCCTTGTACCATACTGTAAATGACAAACACCACTGAAATCTCGTTTCTCGTAGCCAGACATGCCTCGTTGTTCTTAATTTGCCTGAATTCATCAATAAATCCTATTGTTTATTGCTGGCGGTACCGAGAGATTCGCCAAATTGTAAAAAGCACAGTGAAGAAAATAATTCGCATGAACGAGAACATGACTTGAGGAGAGACCTTAAGCTCAGGATAGTTGTAACTTTAAGTCTCACGCAAAGTTCTAGGACACGAAATTTAGTGACAAAAAGCAATGGATTTGCTGTGGCTAAAGACCAAGGAAACGAGCAAAAGGGAAAAGATTGGTGTTTCGACAACGGAATTTGGTCTCTCTGAATAGAGAAACGAAAAGACATTTTTTATCTAAATTCCTTTTATAACTTCAACGAAACGGAATTTAGTAGGAAAACCAATGGACTTGCTGCGCAAAAAGACCATGAGAAAATCTAAAAGGGCATTTCAATTCGGTATTTCTGTCACTGGGCTGCAAGGTGATTTTTTTAAAATAACTACCTACGTAATACCGGATCTGGTCTCTCTGAATTGCGAAACAAGAAGACCCCTATATATCACCTACTTATTGAAATTCAGTTAACATTTTCATTGTAAACTAACTTCTAAAAGAGACAAGCCTGCCCCAGTGTGAGGATTTTCACATTTTATGGACAAATCCGTGTTAACTATGGCACCAAGACCCTTGGCGGTTTCGAGGAAAGGTCTTACAACCGTCATTTAAACGATTACTGCCAAAGAACACGTAACAATGTGACAAATGGCCATTTTCGAGGTGTAAACGGGACATCAACAGCCAGAGAAGTTTCTTACAACTGTATCTTTGTCTGTATTGTACCTCGATGCTGACCAACAAGATCGCCGGCCGTGTATATGGACGGAATGGATTCTCCAAAATGAGGTTGCTGTTTATTGACAAGAACTAAACAAAATTTTGAAGGAAGACAAAGGAAGACGGGAACAGCCGCTTCAGAAACCTCACCGGAAGACTCAAAAGCCTTTCTGACGTCACAAAACAGGTGCTAAATTTTTCAAGATAAAAACTTGCGTACGATTGTTAAAAAGTTCAAAAGAACGCATAAAAGTTAACAACATTTGTCACTCTTTGACAACGTTTGTGTCATTTTTATATCATTTTAGTAGTTTCCACGTTTTAGAATGATTTAAGGTTGTATTATTACACCAAGCGTTTTTAATTAAACAAGCACATCCTTCCCAGCTGGAAACCGTTCATATCTCAATTATGGACGGAGAAGTAACTGGAACTTAATGGAAAGGGACCATATATTGCGGTGTTTAATGGCGAGGAGAAGTACTTACGTCACGTTGCCATAGTGGCAAAATTTCTGGATGACAACAAACCGAAAAACGTCACTTAAAACTGTTTCAGACTTCATCGATCTCGTTCAGTTTCAATAAATTTGTCAAATGTCGGCTAAACTTTCTGCGGTTAAATCCGAAAGGACCGTATTTATGTTTAGAAAAAGAAAAAAACTCGCGTTGTTTTCACCTAGTTTATAAAGCGGACGCGTGAAATTAGGAAGTTTCACGTCGTAGTCGTGCTACGACGGCTAAGAAATGTACAAAAAAGCGTGGTGTACGTGCAAAGTTGTTGTTTTGCTATCTAAACTTATTCCGTCTTCGCTGTTCTTGTTGCCATCTCCGTCATCGCCGTCGTCGTCGCTTAAGTTCCCTATTGTTGTGAGCCAAACATTTGGCTACCATGGTAACACGGTGACGTCACACTTCTCCTCTCTATTGCTTTGCTTTTAAACTTAGCTCGCAAAACCTTTCCGATCGTTCCTAGGTGGCTTGTCTACAATCGAATTGGTGTTTGAACCTATTAAAAATTATACCAACAATAACAATTTCTGTTTGCACTCTACTTATACACATTGAGTCTAAGGTTTGGCAAAAAACAAACCGGCTATATAACGTGTCACAACAGATGGCTGTTATAAAAGGTAGCTAATTAACAGAGGGGGATATAAGTGAATATAGTTTATCGGCAGGAAAAATTTATCGATGTAATATTACAATTTAAAACATGGATGAACAGTACTACGAACAGTACTACGCTCGAATGCTGGACTTTTTGGTACAACTTGTTAGCCAAAGGAGAAGTTTCTTCTTTGCTTTCCTGTCTTCCGTCATCTTTCTTTCAGATTAGCCCCAATTGGGGACTGGCGACGATGCAGTCTGTATGAACTAGCGTACCAATCTACAGATCCATCGATGTAGACATCCACCGATCGTTTTCAATTAAACTAGCGGTCCTTCTCAAAGGGGAGCAGCTCATATCTCAATTATGGACAGAAACGTAATTTGAAATTAATGGAAAAACCATATACAATGTATTACGGTGTTTAATTGTTTTGTCTGCAGTACTTACGTCACAAACCTTCCCCTTGTTTTCCCCTTCCCCCGAATGATCTTGTCATCGGTTCGAGGTTTCAACCTTTAAAATTCATTTCCACAATATGACTGAATTTTTGTTTGCACTCTACCTAGAAATATTGAGTCTTAGTCTTTAACTGCCAAAGAATAAGTAACGATGTTACAAAATGGCCATTGTTCAAGCTGTAACCGATTTCCATCCGAACAATCGCCAGCCAAAGTAGTTGCTTACAACTGTAGGCATGTCTCCATTTAAAATAGGAAGTCTCCCTTCCGCTTGGCCGTGGGATATCTGGGTACGAGATAAGACGCGTCCTCCGACGTACCCCAACAGCGGACGGAAGTTGCAATCTTAACACTCTTTAGAGACGAACACATGCTCGTTGGCATTCGAAAAGAGTTTAGAAATAAGCAAGGTCATTTGGGTTCGCTGTGCGCTATTCGTATCAGAAAAACCGTCGCGAGTCAACATTTGAGAGAAATGTCAAAAAAAGACAAAGGAAGACGAAAACAATCCAAATAAAAATGTTAGGCTCCGGTCCATTTATAAAAACTTCACCTGCTTGAAAGACTAAAAAGCCTCGCTGAGCGGGCATCACCGTCAACTACGAAATGGGCGCTAAACTTTTCAAAACTGAAACCTTGTGTCAAAAGTTTAAATAAAAGAATAGAACTAAACAAAATCCATCTGTATTTTACTATGTTTCAAAAATTTCGCTGGACGGTTAAATTTAGAGGAAAAACTCGCCCTTTCAACGTTTTAGAATGAATTAAAGTTCTATTTTCTATACCGAGCATTTGCAATTTTAAAAACAAACGGTTCTTCTCAGCAGGCAACAGCACACATGTCAATTATGGACAAAGAGGTAATTGGAACTTGATGGAAGGACTATACCTTGCGGTGTGCAATAATTGTTTTGTTTTTAATACTAGTGTTGCAAAACCTTCCCCTTCCATTGTTTTCTGGGTTGGCCTTGTTTTATACAATGTTTTGAACAATGACACCCTACCTATAACATTAAGTCTAAGGATTTAGTTAATGAACCGGCTTTATTACGCGCTACAGCAGATGGCCGATGTGAAAAGTAGCTAATAAACCGAGGGGGTAATTAATGTAGATATCAGTTTTATCCAAGACAAATACATGTATGCAATGTGACAAGTCAAACTATGGCTGAAAGAACTGCAATCGATTTCTGGATTATGGATTAAGCTAGTTTCCTACAGGAGAAGTTTCTTCCTTGGTATCTAGGTTTTAAACTTTGTATTTTCCCTCCCTTCATAATGCCAAATAAGAGAGGCACACCGACAAAGGAAGTCCGCCTCTGCAATAGTTTATTTGTCTCCCGGCAGTAGTTTTTTTAGCGTGTTGTTGTCCTCATTCGAGTAATATGTAAAAGGTTTTCAAAGGTCTCACGTCGGTGAAGATGTGCGGCCTGTCACCCCTTACAGTTTTTACTATGAGGATTTTGTCATGTGATGGCCTAACTGTGCTTAACCCTTTAGGCAGTAAGAGTTATTAGCATCAAATTTCTCCTAGTAATGTTCCCGCTGTAGAAAACAAGGTGGTTATGAGAATTAGGGACATAATCACACAGATTCTTTGACAGCTTCTCTCAATTACTATTATCATGAGGAAACGTATGGGAACAACAAATGAGAATTTGAATTTGAATATTACGATTTTTAATATCAGTTCTTGCAATAAATAGTCTCAGATCTTCGCCAAGGAAAAGCATTTTAAATTCCACTAACTTATGTCAGAGACACAAGAACGTGACGAACGTGTCACTTTCAGTTCCATATTTATACACTGGAATCCTGATTTTTTGGCATTTAGTGGGGAAGAGCTTACAAGCGAGCAAGGTTATTGAGCTCGCTGTGCGTTAGTCCATTCAGACTATATAACACCGTCGTGAGTCTCCAGTTGAGGCTAATTACTTTCCAGTCCTTTTTTAAAAACATCACCAGCTTTGAAGACTCAAAAGCCTCGCTCACGACAACTTGAACTAAGGAACAAGTGCTAATTTTTTCAAAGTGAAAAATTGCTTAAAACAAAAATTCACCATTATTTCATATGTGTAAATCATTTGCTGGTCGGATCAATCAACAGAAAATACTCGCTCTTTCAACGTTTTCCAATGATTGAACGTTCTATTTTTACATTGATCTTTTCCAATTAAGCAACTGTTTCCTTTTAGCAGCTAGGGAGTAGCTCACATGTCATATATAGACAGAGAGGTAATTGGAACTTAATGGGAAAGGATTTTCTTTTCAATACTTATGTCGTAAAACCTTTCCCTTGTTTTCTGAGTTGGCCTTGTTTACAATTCGATTCGGTGTTTTAAACCTTAAAATTTTGTACCAACAATAGGAATTTCGGTATGCACTCTAACTATAAACATTGAGTCTAAAGCTTTAGTTGATGAACCGGCTATATAGCGTGACACAGCTGATCGTTTTTATGGAAGGTAGCTAATTAACCGAGGGGGTAATCAATGTAGATATTTTACCAACAGGAAAAATTCGTCTATACAATTTGACAGCTTAAACCATGGCTGAACAGTTCTGCACTCGTGCGCTTTATTCCTTGGTTCAACTTGTTCATCAGAGAAGATCTTCCCTCTTTGCTTTTTGTGTTTTAAACTTTGTATTTTCCGTCGTGGCGACTCTTGAAAATCTTTTAGTTATTCGCGCCTTAATGAAGGCCTCAACGATACCAGCTACTGTGAAAAAGCTGCTCGTAAGTCTGGCTTTCTCTGATCTTGCAGTTGGACTGTGTTCGCAGCTTATGGCCGCTATTATCAACGCCTCGATATTGAAGATGGCATCAAGTGGAAACAACACAGCCTTCTTGTGTCCAACAGTTTTGAGTGCCCAAGGTTACTTTAGGTATCTTCTCGCCACTGCATCTTTTCTGAATGTTATTGTCATCGCATTTGATAGACTTCTCGCTGTTTCGCTCCATCTGCGATATCAGGAGCTTATCACACCCAAACGTGTTAACATAGCATTGGTGTCTTTGTGGTTAATAAGTTGTTTCACTGCCTTCATAATCGTTTTCCTTCCGACAAGAAATAAAATAGTAGCTGCAGTCATTTTACTGATAGGGTATGTTCTGACAACCGTGGCATATGTTCGTATTTACAAAGTCGTCAAATATCA